TAGCGTTTACTAGATATGTGTTAGTCTTGTATGTATAAGACGGTCACAACGTGACGGGAAGATGTGTGTAATTGAACTGAGTATTGTTGAGTTGTGCTGAGCACGTGAGACGTTCGTTGAGAATTATAGCGTTTGTTATAGCGTGACTGTTGAAATTAATGTATCGCAAAGTTATATTCAGAAAGAATAAACCAGTTTTATTTAAGAAAGAACTTCTATCGGTAAAGTTTCTTCGGAAATAATGTTTACGGAAAATTAAACGGAGACGTAACAATATAAAGAAATTTTAAATGTTCCAGATAGCACAGGGAAATCTTTTTGTCACTTGTTAGAAATGAAGAAGTCATTATTACAAGACAAATAATTGAGCTTGTGTAGAATATGTGAATATTATAACGCAGCATCACAAATTAGAATTATTTTACATTTAATGCTGATAAATTTCACAAGGGCAGTGATACAAATTACTCTGTATAATCAATACCAATCATGGTTCTACTAACTAGTGAAACTCACTTTACTGTATAATTTTAGTTTCGAACCCTACATTCATACCAGTGAACAAACTAGAACGTTTGATACATTGATCAATCCAGAATATTTTGAGAATTTATGTACCACTTGAGAAGTTAGAGTTGCTATATGTGATATAGTACATGAAATAACAAGAAACAGTGCATTAACTTTCTTCGCTTCTTTCAGTGGTGTTGTACAACTCTAAAATTTCGCAGTTTGGTTTACTTATTACTTCGACCTGTGAAATCATTTACCGAAAATATTTTTAAATATGTCATATATCTAAATATTATCTTTCATTATTTCCCACTTATATGCTTTACAGGGGAAAAGGGAAATTTATCAGAACAACAAGACAACTTTTAAGATCATTCAAGTACATTTTTACTCAACTTTTACAAGACTACATGAACTACCTTTGTTATAGCCAAGTAACGTTAGTAGTTAGGGGGCCTGTCATGTGTCTGAAGTAACGTCATAGTTCCACCAAGTGGCACCAGATGACTTCAGGGAGGGTTGACATCATAGTTTGACATCAGAGGGCCTATTACTATAAGTGGATGTGTTACTAAGGTTCCATAGGTGGGCAATGTTAGTAAGGTTCTATAGGTGGATTGTGTTACTAAGGATAGTGTTTGTATAGATGAATGGTCTTGAAAGCATTGTGTTTGTATAGATGAATGGTCTTGAAAGCATTGTGTTTCTATAGGTAGAAGGTCTTACTACGCCTATTGTGTGTGTTTTATAAAGGTGGACACTGTTTCTATAGGCAAACAGTGTTACTGTATGATGGCAAATAGATTTCACCTTGTCTCAACTTTTGTTTTCAGTATTCATTTCTATATTTAACTACATATGTTTAGCAAAGATGTATGGTGTTTCTATAAATGGATAGTTCAATAGGACAATGATCTCATCATAGGTTGTCTCAACATGTCTCAACACATGATGATGGCATCAACATTGTAGTCCATATTTACTTATATGTCCTAAAAATTTACAAGGAAAAGCATTATTTTAATGAGACAACTATTATAGCAAAGTGTATTATGTTTTTTCACATATACTATCTTAATGTATCCATTATTTGATCAATAGAAATATTACAGCATAGCCAATAATTTACTTTACATACTTTTACAATTATCTCTCCTGAAAGAATTTTATCATTCCTAGTGTTTCGTTTTTATAAATATTGAATGAGATATTTACATTATTATTATTCTACAGCTAATTGTGATTTTTATGACTTAAGTTTTGATTTAGTACACATTTAACATACTGTAATACAGTTTTTCGTCTATATTTAATTTCCATACCATACTTTTTTCAATTAACATCCTGAAAATGACGTATTTTTCTTGATATCATAATTATTGAATTATCTAAAAATTATTCAAGCTTACTGCTTCACTTTATAAGCATATACATAATGCTTGTTTCTCTAGCTAAAGTATTTGGCTTAAAACATATTCTTATGCTAACCCCCTATGTATGTAGTTCTATTTTCATTTGTATCTCCAATTCTAAGAAAAAGACCTTTAATTATAAATCAAGTGATTATTCTTTCCATTCTTATTAATTCAACATGTTTACTGTTTATCATTACAGAATATATTTTACAATAACAGTGTAAAATCAAAGACTTGACAAACATAGTGAAACATTTATTAACAAAACTTCAAGATACACTAATATATTATAAACATCTTAATTTATAAATTACTGAATTACCTATCATACAACTTTTATACATTATGTTCATATTAATATTTCAGTTTGAGTTTTATATTTTTCGTTTGTATAACATTATGTTAAAGCAAATTCGTCATTTATCACGAGACATTTTAATACATCATTTTAAAGACATGTTTATTATAGTCAAACATAATTATTTAATGACACCAACAACATTATTTGTTCACACTATGTGTTCAATGCATGTGAGATTTCAGTTTGTAGGCTCAGAAAAACTAGTTTATCTGCTATTTTACATTTCAAACACATATTTTCCTCACAAGGATTTCAGACAAAGTTTCAGTAATATATATTATCTTTTCACTTAAAATTATACAAATCTTCAGTTACAGATCAGTGTTCTGACTAAAGATCAAATTTCAGATAATTTCATATCTGGCTTAGTCTTTTACAATAGGTTAAACCCCATAAATATCAGTTTCTAACAAGTATGTTGGAATAACTAATACAAGTCTCCATCTCTTGCATAAAACTCATGTTTCATCATAGTCCTATATACTATCCTTAATATGTGTAAGTAAAATCACAGACTTAACAAGTATCGCATATACTGAAACATTTATTAATAAAACTTCAAGATGTATTATATACTATTTATGAAAACATCTTAGCTTATAAAATACTGATCTACAGGCCAATGTAATAATACCTGCAGTTTATACTTGTTCTAGAATGTTATTTGTCAAATAGAATAAGTCAACATAAATGAAAGAAGAGGAACATTCCCCAAAATGATTCGAGCTAATATGATCATAGAAAGTATCTTCATCTAGAAATTCTACAAAACACACCATGTACTTGAAATCCATAACTAATGTCACTGTCCCATGTAGTTCTGAAGATTAGATCCTTTGATCCTTACATTATCCTCCCCTATCATTTAAAACTGACGTGTTTCAACATGCCCTAATATGCTATCATCAATCTATGTAAGTAAAATAACAGACTTGTCAAGTATCACACATACTGAAACATTTATTAACAAACCTTCAAGTTAGAAAAAGAGGACGACTTTATCCAGAGGTGTTTTTAACACTCCAAACTACTTGGTGCAATTTTCTTAGGGGACCCATCCATACTGATCAGCTATAGGTTTAGAAATCTATAAGTTTCTTTGCATTACTTTGGGGGCCTGCAATATAATGGACCCGTTAGTGCATTGCCCTGATTGCACCAATAT